AACCTGATGTGGTTCAAGGTGTCCCTGCTGCTGCAGGGGGGTTGGGCTGGGTGACCTCTGGGGGTCCCTTCCCACCCAAAACATTCGATGATTCTATAAAAACACGTGAATTCTTGCAGCCCTGTCTGCTGTGGGGAGCGGGGGTCTGCTGGGGGCTGTGCGGACACAGCCCGGGCTCCTCTGCTTTCTGCTACCTTTTCCCCCCCTTTCTGGATGCATATTAAATATGTATGTAATGTAGCTCATGTTTCTTTAGTGATATTTATGGGGTGTGATTAGTTTACAGTTTTACTTGGAGCACGGCCGCCCGTTGGTGTGACACACCAATACATGCCCGGCGTATGGGTTTTGCAGAAATCACTTCTCACCGACGCAACGTGCTGAGCAGATTTTAAGCAGGTTGCTGAAAAATGGTTTCTGCAAGCAGCCGGACGTGGGCATTTTCCAGAATGGCTGTATTTGTCTCCCACTCGATCCCTGATTTTTGCAGCCGTGTTGCGGTGACCAAAGATGTATGTTGGGTTTGCGTGGAAGAGGCTGAAATGTGGCCCTGGTTATGTGCGTGAGCATACATCAGCAACGTCTCTGTATTTAGGAGGGTTTTGGGTTCCTGGTATTCTTATGACAATGTGGCAATTTTTCTTTTTCGTGAGAAATTGAATTGTAAATGTAATTCTGTTCCTCTCCGGATTTCTTGTAGTTATTAAATTTAAACTTAGTAAACAGATTCTTGTACTAACGGTAATGCTTTGCTCTCTGTTAATACAGTGGAACGCTTGTCCGTGCTGTCCTGAATCAAACCAAGATTGATAATGATAGGAAAATCCAGGCTATAATCTTGTATTTTTCTAGAAGTCTTTCTGATGCCTGGTTTTTGTGTGTATTTTCCTGTAGATGTATTTGTATTTTTAGTGATTTCTTAATGCCGAGTTTGCTGCTTCATTTGATTAAGGCTGTTCTTCTGGTCACTTTAAAAATTTCAATGAAGTTCTTTTCTTGAACCCCATTTGGATTCCCGACTCTCCCTCAGCTTAAAAAGCAGCACTATTAATGGTTTTGTTCATATTGCTTAGATTTATTTTGTTATTATTCTCTAGCTCCTACTCTTCAGGTATAGCTATTTTGGTATTATAAAGAATGATGGATTATATAGGAAAGTTTCTTTTGAAGCACTCCTGATATTGTGCAATGCACTTGGGGGTCAGCTACACTTGACTGATGCATGATTTATCCGATGTCCCTGCCACTTTCTGAGATAAAGCTGCTATTTTATCAAAAATGCCAGCAAGTGTGATTTAGAATATATACACCTCCTTTTTCAAATAATTGTTCTGATTACTTTCTGGCACGGCAATAAAATGCTAAAGGTAATTGCACACAAATGTGAGATAGCACCAAAATACAATAAAATTAACCTGAATTAGCTTGACTTGTCGATGAGAAGTATTTATGAAATGTATTTTTGCAATAAGGGAGACTGATATTATAGCTGGAAGGTGAGTTATTGCCTTAATGTAATACTGTTTGAAATTTAAAAAAGAGACTGTTACAGTTGAGGGTGATTGTGCCTTTGAAATTAAGTTGAAGTGATTCTTATAATTGGCAGCAATAATGCATTGTGAAGGTAATATCTTTTATTGTGTTATGCCTAGTTGCATTATCTTTTATTTAGCTGGTCCTGACTTCAGCTCTGCAGAGAACGCAAGAAGGAGCAGATCAAGAATTTGGTGGATTTAGGTGATAAAAATTTGAAATGTTACCTAATATTAAAGTCATTCTTCTGCTCAATTTTTTTCATTTTTAGCCCATTTTCAGTTCCCCTGAACCTGATACGAGTCTCATTTGATTAAACTTTCATCTCTTTGGCTTGTATTAGAGTAGTTGCCATATATTTACATACGCAGCTGGACCCTGTAACAAGGTAACCCTGCACTTCAGTCTTGCTATACGTGTGTCTGCACACATATACATCAAGCGGTCATTTTGGCAGTTAAATTTTGTATTTTTCAGTGCCTCAAGGCATAATGCCCTCTTCTTAAGAAGTATATACCAACTTTCACGGCAAGCGCTTCAATGATTAAGGAGTAGATCTTAAAATGTTGACTAATACCTTGAGTTCTCCTTCTCTGGAGATATTCAGAGCCCGCATGGATGAAGTGAAACACTGGAACAGGTTGCCCAGAGAGGTGGTGGAGGCCCCATCCCTGGAAGCATTCCAGACCAGGTTGGACGGGGCTGTGAGCAACCTGATCTAGTTAGCGGTGTCCCTGCTCCTGCAGGGGGGTTGGACTAGATGACCTCTAGGGGTCCCTTCCAACCCAAAACATTCTATGGTTCAATGAAGTCCTGTGTAACATGCTCTAGGAGAACCTGCTTGAGCAGGAGGGTTGGACTAGATGATCTCCCGAGGTTCCTTCCAACCCTTGCAGTTCTGTGATTCTGTGAGTTTATTTTTCAAAGCTATGAACACTTCTGGAAAATCCAGACAGCTGTGATGACTTCTTTTCCTTTGTTGTGAGTCTTGTTAAAACTCAAACCAGTAACAACTAGGTACTAATTGACAGGCTTGAGAGGTGGACCTGTGAGAACCTCATGAAGTTCAACAAGGCCAAGTGCAAGGTGCTGCACCCGGGTTGGGGCAATCCCCAGCACAGGTACAGGCTGGGTGGAGAATGGGTTGAAAGCAGCCCTGCTGAGAAGGACTTGGGGGTGTTGGTTGATGAGAAGCTCAACATGACCCAGCAATGTGCACTGGCAGCCCAGAAGCCAACCCTACCCTGGGCTGTATCAGGAGAAGCGTGGCCAGCAGGGCGAGGGAGGGGATTCTGCCCCTCTGCTCTGCTCTGGTGAGACCTCACCTGGAG